ACCATAAAAATTTACATTGCAACTGATAAATTAATAGAAATTTCTTTTTATAATTCATATTTTCAAAAAAATATATTATTAGTTGAATTTTGTTGTCAACATTTACAATGTATTGAAATATATGATAAAGATACTAAAAAAATCCGCACATATGTTTGATGATCAACCGCCATCGAACACCACAAACATTTATGTTATTATTTTAGCTCGAGTAAAAATTACAAAAGAATGTTTGTCTTTTTGGGAACACGTGCAATCTTTAATAATAATAATAATAACAACAATAGCAATAAATTATTAATTTATTTTTGAATATCATCTCAAACGTATTTGATCTAATCCATCAATCTTCAGGATATAGGAAGTTTGCAATCTCATCAAAGTAAAAAAATGGCATTTACGAAACATACAAGTTTTCCCAAAAAATTTATACAACAACATTTAATCATTAAATTGAAATTCGACATGATTAATGAATTAGATTTCGTATAATTGATATTTGAATGCATACACATTATGCAGGAAGCAATAATGATAGTACAACTAATTATCTTTGGAGATATATTTATAATGTATTAATATATATGGTAATTTTTGAAAACTTGGACCCTTATTGAGATGGATTAGTTCAGACTTAAAGTAAAGCTCTCAATAATATTTATATTATTGTAAAATTGTTTTTGTTTTACAAAGATTTTATAGACACGGTTTACTATCAATTCATTCATATATATAATCGTCAGTGCTATGATAGCATTGTAATTTACCATTATTATTTATTCATATCGGAATGGCGGTTTACTAACATGTTAAACCAATCAAAAAACCATTCGCTGTATTGTTTCTTTATGTAATTGAGTTTTTATTTATATAAACAAAAATCATAATTGATCGCCTTCGTACATTGGTTTCTTTTTTTTTTTTTGAAATTGAGATTATGCAAAACTTCTAACAAATCTTATTTAATCGAAATTAGAAATCTTTTAACTACCACGAAAATGTTTTACATATTGAATTTATTGGCATTTCATAACCAAAGTTCGTTTTAATGTTGGTTGTCGAATTTGGAATGCCTGAATTAGCATCCGAAATTATTTGAGTTCTTTAAACTAGACAGCATAATTGTTTTATGCTCATGTATGGCAATAATAGGAAATATTGATAATCCGAAATTATGTCAGAAACAATTTCAAGCCATTTTTAATTCGTTCTCAATATTTTTTTTATATTACACGATTTTTTAACTCTAATTTTTATAGGTCGACGCCAAGAGTTTAGGCCAATGAAATTTAATGAAAAACTATTAATGAAAATAATAAATAATTTATGAATTTATGACATGATATATACAATTTTTAGAATATTTATGAGTAGTATTCCTATTCGTATTAGTGTATCACTGGACTTTATTCGAATATTCAAATTTTATTCTTTCCTGGATATTTTTGAATAAGGTAGGACTTGTTAAAACAATAGTCAATGTTATAAAAAAAAACCATTCGGTTTAATAAATCCCTTTTAATAAATTGGCTTATAGATAGATGTTGTGCGTGAATTTTAAATTTGAAACTCATGTAGTGTGAGTTTTAATTCATGCACGTGAAATTCAATAATAAACAACATCGGTTTATCATATTCGTTTATCAAAGCACCGTCTCACCAAATTCCGACTGTACGCATGATACTTTCGGATGTCATTTACTTTTATTATTATTCTTTTTATTTTTGATAATCCTATTCTAAAATATTATACTTTGTATTTCTTTTTAAAAACAATAACTTTTCTAGGCTATTTTTTTTTTTTTGGATCCAGGTGCAACTACAATTAATTCGTCATCAGGAACAACCTCGATATTTAAAAGCGAATCATCTTCTTTGTCTATTTGCATTATTTCCGAGCTTTCATCATTTTGATCAAATTGAAATATTAATATCAACTTCAATGTCTCCTTTAGTGAGTTAATGTTAATTAAAGGATGTATAACAGAAAAGTAACCACTAAATATTGTTCATATTCTCTTTACAAGAATCTTTGTAATAATTGACATTGCTGGGAAAGATATTCTATAATTAATTTATTATTTAGTGAGTGACTATATTAATATTTAATCATAATTTATTAATTATAATGTTTCATACTCATATGCTACATGTAGTACACAACCCTCCAAAGATCTTCTCTATAAATATATCGAGTTTGGTCTTTTAATGCCATTCCCATGACTCTTCTTTTGTTTTTAGGTATAGTATCAGTTTTATGTGAACTCATTATAAAATGCGCTTTGTCTTGAAATAAAGGTGTCAAATGGTTTTTTGTAATTTTTTTTCTTTTTCTAATGGATCGGATCTTGTCGAAAATTTATACTAACAATAAAAATTATTCAAAAGTTAAGCAAGATTTTAGAACAATTAAATTACTAGTAGAACTTGTTTTAAAACATGAAATGACGTACAGTTGATATATCATTAATTTAGGGTGTTATATTTGTACGCCTAGTATGAGATGACATAGTTCTCTAAATTCATTGTACCATTTATTCCATGGTACTGACTGAAGCATTGTACATTTTTTCCATTTTTCTAATATCATTCCATTCATTAGGAAGGCATTTAATTGCACATTTCGCTTGAATAAAGGATCGAGCTTGGTTGATGTCAAACAAGTAAATGCCTTTATGGTTTTAGATATTCAATCTTCACACGTCACTTGGGTGGGTTTCTACCAATTTATAGTTTTGATAATGGAATTTTTGTTTGTTATTTCTTGTACAACATAGTGATTTTTTCCTATCATGCAACAAAGGAAGATTTGGACATTCGAATGTTACGCGAAATTTTCAATAAACAGCTCGGAAATTTTTTCTAAAACTCTACCAATTGAATAGGAGCGGTTCTGGAACGGTTCTTCACTCTAATAGGCGGTGATAATTATTAGCTGGCATAATTTCAAGGGTGATAAATGAGCTACATGCGTGCACCGAACATAAGTGTAACCGCACGCTATTGTAAAAAAACCAATTGAAGTAATTTAGTTGCACGGTTTGAATGCCTGAACATGCACAACACAAATCATTATCTGTTATTCATTTTTTTTGCAGAGTAGTGTTCCTAACTATAATCCTATCCCCATTTAATACAAGTATCTGAATAATTATTAATATCTGGAATAATTATGAATGTCCAAAATAATTAATTACAAACATTCAAAATAATTACAAATATTTACAAAATAAATTGATCAAATCAAGTCTTAACCTAATCAGGTTTTAATTCCTGAGGACGCCCAATGTTTTTATGATAATAATAATTTTGGGAAGGTATTTTTAAAAATAGATCAAAATATGCAAAGAAATTCAAATATTCACTTCGTTTATCGCTTTTATAAGAAATAATTGACATATTTAAAACAAACAACTATTTTTATTTATTTATTTTTAAATTATTTATTAGTATTAGTATCGGTGTAATTGTACTGCTAATCAAATTAATTATTCTTTATTAGTGTTAGCACTAGTGTTAGAATCAGTAAAGTAACAAGCTTCTTTTAATTTGTTCTTTATTAGTTTACACTGATTTCTATTTTTAAATGCTAAGTAGCTAAAAATGCTTTTATATTGATACCAAAAATTACCTCGTCAACTAATTAACTCAACATTGCCAAGGCTAGAAATTTCTTATAGAATTTCTATTTTGTAATTGAATGAATATTCAAAATTAATTACAAATAATTAAGATAAAACCTTTACTTGAATGAAAATTTTAAAACAATGATAACAAGTAACGTCAGTGATGAAATCACTGTCGTAAATCATGTTTCTAGTAAAGATATTCAAAAATTCACTTCATTTTTTGCTTTTATAGAAAATAATTAACAATTTATTTATTTAAAACGGACAGAAAACGCACATCCGTAAATCTTTTTTCTTAGATTGTAAAGATCACTTACTTTCTTTAACTATTCTATTATATATTATTTGAGAAAAATCTTTTTTATTAATTGTTAAATTTTTTTGGTTAATTCTGGAAATGGTATACATCAAATTTTTATTTGAATTGATTATACGCTTCAAGAATTCAATTTCCATTGCAAAGTGACTGTTCACAAAACACAAGGTTTAACAAGCATATGTCACTTTTAGTAAATGGGCAAATGTTCTAGGATAAGAATGCCTCTATTACTGACAAATCCATAACCGAAAAACATAAAGATCAGAAGAAAAGGCTTACTTATATCCTTTACAATAATATAATTAAAAAATAAATTTTGGCATAGAAATTAATAAAATTCTTTTAATTGGTCTATGAAAAAAAAAAAAAGTTTCCATGACATTCCTTTAGTTTAGGAACAAGTTTTTCAATTGAGCGTGCGCAAGTGAGCTATGCAATACAGTCGAACCTTATTATAACGGACTTTGTTATGCCGGTCAAAAGTCTTATCCTTGTTCTTTTCAACAAATAAAAAATTTTGTTAATAATAAGTCTTGCTATTCCGTATAACGAAGCAAATTAATTTTCTGACCTTTGATCATCATGTGATTTTAGGTTTACATAAAACAATTCTTTAATAATAAGCAGAACAAACAGGATTAGCCAATTTTTATTAATATCAATACTACATAATTGTTTGCCATAATCGCCCTTCTTAATAAATAATCGCTGCAATGCTATAATTAGTTTTTCATGCTGTCTTCTTAATAAATGATCGCTGTAATGTTGCCATAATTGACTTCAATAATAGCTTGCCATAATTGACTTTAATAATAGTAATAGTTGCCAAAATTATTTTTGTAATTATTTGAACTTAAATCAAATGACATATTAATATATAGTTATTTTATATAAATAATATCGATAATCCGTAATTATTGTCATGATAATAATCACTTTTTCTCTAAAGCAATTCCGGCAAACAACTTTAGTGTATGTATATGCATTAAAAATTAATATATATATATATATTAATATTGTATCAAACATTGACATAAAATTTTCTATTAAATGTATAGTAAAATGTTATTGTATTGTTATATACAATCTCAAATAATTGTTAATTGAGTCCTTTCGGCAAAAGTAATCAAAATAATACTGCAATTCATTTCCTTGTAATTCTAATATGTTGTCTTCAATTAATATACATTAGTCGGTCCAATATGATAGAAGCAAGGTGATGAGTTAAAATATTACACTCTTCTCTAGTTAAATACAAATGATGGATTGGAATATAAACATGCAAGGATATATCGCCCAAATTCGTCATCTTTGGTATACCAATGATGGTCTTAAAGTAAAACTGCGACAGCACATTCTTAAATTGATCAGTCAAATTAAAATATATATTAAAAACTGTTGAAAATACATAATACAACTAGTGAATGAGTTATATTTATATATCATTACCATTTATACATGATAAATTTTATAAACATTTTAAAAAATCAAAGAAAAACAATGACCCGTCTATGGATCGGTGAACTCTAAATAAGGATCAGCGGAGGAAAAACATCACAAATTTTACTAATTGACGACTTTGTATAAAAAATGGTACTATTACTATACTTCAGCACAATAAAATAATATTTTGAGTTATGAAACAAATGTCAAGAAACATATTTATACTTTTTTTTTCAAGAATATCGAAAAAAAAAGATTTACTCTTGGGGATGTAGAGATGAGTGAGATTTTTCATATATAAAAAAGTTTTTACGTTCGTGTGATTTATTAAAATAAAAAATAACAAAAATGAGTGTATAATTATTTTTAATCGAACATCTGGGAGGGAGATCGTCACAAAACTTGGCCAATGAAATCAAATCTTAACTATGTTAAGAGCGCAGCAAAAAAAAAAAATGACTCATTACCCTTTGATTTTCTCATCCTTCCCTAACAATTCATTTTACTAAAGTTGAGAAGTATTTCCCGTGCAATCAAACATTTCAAAATTAAGTAGAAATTTAATTACGGCATTCACTATTAAAAACATAAGTGTAACACCCCTTTACTACATGTATGTAACCCCCTTTATGACAGTGTGAAAATACTTTGGGCTGCATGTATAGCACCAACTGATTTCTCAATATAATTGATGGCGGCATGAAATGCATAAACACAGTGAACCCTCCATAAGTACACCCTCCATAAATGCATGCTCTCTCATCCATTCCCAAGGGGTGTGCACTTATGGAGGGTTCACTCTAATGTATGCTGATGAATACCGATCATACATATTTTCAGAAATTATCAGTTTGTTTGGTGTAAAAATCAAAGGGTTATATTTTTTGATGTTATTGATAGTGGGAGTTTGTGTGAATCACTATTGGCAAAAAATTTATGAAAGTTAGGAATTGATAGCATTGATAAACTTGATAAAAAATCAGGATTATGGAATATAATAATACATACTGTATTTGATTCATCTTCAGAATAATAATCATCAACATCATTCATATTTTGATATTAGCTAAAATGGAAAAGTACAACATATTTGTCATTAAATTCTTCATATTCTAAAATTTTATCATCAGTTGCTATCCAGTGACTAGAATCAAACATGAATTGCAAGTATAAAATCAACATGAAGAAGCTTACCCTAGACCTTTTGTGATTTTGATTTCCACACTGGGGATCTAATGTTCTTTTTTGGCTTCGTTGTATATTATTTTCTTTATCAGTCTTTGGTTAGGATTTTCAAGAATTAAAATTGTAATTCAAAAGTAAGTTGCATTACAACATAGACAAACAATAAATGAGCTTACAGCATAAAATAAAGATACTTACTGGTTGTATATTATTAATATCTGGGTTTGGTATAGAGTATTCATGCTAATAAGTGGCTGGGATTTGTGGAAGTGATCAGCAACAACTTTGTTACACTAGATGCTTATTGGTTAGGTAAGCAAGAGAGGAAAATTGAGATGTATAAAGGAATTTGGGATTTGGGATCCTTGCTTGATTTTTAATTTGGCAGCACCTATAGTATAGAGTCTGAAACATATATTACAAAGTCAAACAAGATGTATGTTATAAAATACTTATAGAGAAGTATATAATATTTACTTGCCTTCAGAAATACAATTAGAGCTGTCAACTTCATGTATGCTACTGTCTTCTAAAGATTTATTCTCTGTGATATGCTTCATATGTATTCTTTTCACTTTAACTAATGGTTTCTTTGATACATTTCTGTTATATTCCATAAGCTGACTTCTATACATGGTCAATGAAGTATCACAAAGACAAAGAAAGCCTATCTTGTCAAAGTACAATATTTCTTCTTCCTAGAAGACAAAATAAATTTAAAAGGTTAAACTAATTCCATCAAAAAGGTCAATCTATTATAAGACCTACCATAAGAAATTGCCTTTCCATGGTTTATTTTTAGTTTGTTTTGTTGAAGATTTGAGAAATGTTTCACTGGTGGTGAGTTCTTGGCATTCCTGTAACAATAAAGCAGAAGGTTTATTAATTAATTTTCATTACTAAATCACTCAATATTGAGCACAACTATGCATATTCAAGCAACACAGACAAAGCACACCCTTTCCCACTACAAAGATGTACTCTGCAGAATATTCTACTAGTCAATTGACAATCATATTATTCACTGAGTAGTTTTCACCAACAAGGATGCATCATTTTCCACTACAAGGAAGCACCCTGCAGGGTAGTTGATGTACTCAGGTTGTCATGAATATACATGCAGCCCAAAGTATTTTGACACTATCATAAAGGGGGTTACACATGTAGTAAAGGGGTGTTACACTTATGTTTTTAATAGTGAATGCTGTAATTAATTTCTACTTTCTACCATCAAAATCACCAAACCAATTTGGGCTGCATGTATATACAGGGTAGGGTTGGAAAATTGAATGGTCCATTGAGAACTGATGGATTTGGACTGGTCCATTGCCATCAATAAAATACAAAATATGGTTAAAGCATTACACTAATGGACCCAATAGACCACCAATAGACCAGAAATGGACCGCATATTTGCCAACCCTGTTACAGGGTAATATTTTTTAATGGTTTTCAATTCAGTAATATATTGATGATGTTCTGTTGCTTCAGCTTCCAAAAAGATGAAAATCTAGAAATATCTTTAAAGATAGCTCATCAATATTTTCCCAAAACTCTATATTTTCAAGTTAAAAATTTAACAACAGGCTATAAAATTCTCATAACAATGATAAAAAAAACTGAATAAACAATTTGCTTTACCAGGACATGCCAAAGCCATAAAACATTTATTGTTTTGAACACAAAAATTGCCTATCATTAGCACTAAAAGGTAAAATAAATACAGTCAGGGAGATTTCCAAATATATAATTTCTAAATACATATTATATATGTATTATCAATTAATTAATATTAAAACATTACATTGGTGATGACAAATTTTATACCTGAAATTTGGTAATACAAATATTTGTTGCTCAACTGAGATTTTTTTTACAACACTATGTAGAAAATTCCGGAAAATTTGAAAATTATCCAATAGAATAAATTTCATAAGAAAAAAAATTTATTATTAATAATAGTAAAACGTTATTATTATTATAAAATGTGTATCTTTTCGTCCTACTTTCTTTAGTGCGTTGACTTTTTTTGATTTCGACTTGAAGATATCAAACATTTAGATCGGCACCTTTGTAGACAATGATTGTGATACCCATGTCCACACGTGAGCATATACACTACAATTATTCAAATTAGTATAGTTAGTGTAATCACAATATACGTAATTGCAAAAAATGTTTGTAGATGACTTCCTAGAAGTAACAAAGCCTCTTGGAAGGTGACGATTGGTTATTTCGTAAACTAAAGAATACAATTAACACCACCATTAGATGAAGTTTTAGTAATCAAAGGATAGTGGTAGTACCTACCGAATCTAAATAGAATGCAAGGTCGAACTTAAGTTTTGTATTAACATATAAACACCGTTAATCATACAGTCAATTGTTTGTTCATTACGTTCAAATGGCCGAGCTGCTAAATAGAGTTGGTCAAAAAACCCCTTCAAGCTTGGTTTTATTTCTTGGAACAATCTTCGTATTTCATCAAGATCGTATATAGGACCTTCTTTATTTGAACATTCTCTTTCATAAAAGATTTTGGTCATCATTTTCATGCTTGTTTTAACAACGTTTTCAGTTGTTAAATTTTATTTTCTGCTTTTTTTTTTTTTTTTTTATTTCATGTTTGTTTATTTTCAGTTGAAACCTTTTTATCGTTGATATTAGTAACGGCAACATCTATTCATTATAATCAGGATCTTTTACCACTTCTAACTGTTGCTTCTGTTGTTGCTGTTGATAAACGGAGGAAGACAACATCAAACGTGTTTTTGAAGAGAAAGTTGACAAGGAAGAAGATAATGCCGAAGATATCCATGGAATTTGTTGTGGTTGATGATGATGATAATAAACTGTGAAATAATCTTGATTCTATACCCTTCAATCTTTTAGTGATGGAGGCAACTTTTGTGTTCTTTATTTGTGCTGTTGGATGATGATGATAAATTCCTTGGATTTAAGAATGCCTATTTGCAACAATAGCTTTTCGCTTCTCATCAACATACAAACCTTCAGAATCATGAAACGTGACACTTTTTCTTGTAAACTGCTACTGATATCTCCACGTCTTTTTTATCCTTGTCTTCTTTCGAAAGCATTATACACTTGGCGTGAAATCTTAAACATAACTTCATAACCTCTTCGGAAAATGTCATTGCTAGCGGCAAGGATTATTCAGACCATTGATGTGTATGTCGAGTTTGATTGCTTGGTGAACTACTAACTAATAGATAATATGAGAGGGATATAATTAATTCATTGAAATATTATCATTAATGATTGACTACTTGCAGCAAAAAATCTACTTTAATTTTGGCACCTCGCCAGTGACTGTTTCATTAGTTTTTTATGGCGATTTTTACCAATCTGATCATGAATAGAATCGATGACATTATATTTAGATGCAAGCTAGTTGTTTTTTATGTTTGGGTCTTTATTTTTTTCAATGCATATTTCTATTTTTTATGAGATTGTTATAGGCATATGTTTTCTTTTTGATACCTCGACTTCTTTTTCAGTAGATTTTTTTTCCTCTTGTTTGCACTAGAGGAAAACCTACCCTGGTAATTTTTGTACACATGTATTCTATAACTTGTATATTATTATTATTGGCCAATTTTTATTTCACTTCGTTTTATAAAAATTAATCTTTGGTTTATAAAAATTCGAATTAACGGGGCAATTTTACATATAAATGGCTTCAAAAAATTTAAAAATTTCTTTGGTTTATGGTTTATAAAGTTTCATTATTGACATTCATATTAACGGGGTGGTGTTTTAAAAATTATTCATTTAACGGGATTTTCGGATTAACAGGGTTCGGACTAATGGGTTGGCTACGTATACACTAATGCCCATAATTATCATGTAAAAATTGTCTTACCTGATTTGGATACAACTTATAATAAAAAAGCTTATGCTATATCTAAAATAGTCATTGAACTTTATCAGCAAAAAACTTACCAAAATCAGATGTTGCTTCAAATTATGATAATCAAATGCCGTATTTTCTCTATGAAATTTTTAATAAAATGATAAAAATTAAATACTGAATTTTCTTGGAAGTTTGATATAAACGTGACAAAATAATAAAATTTAGATTTTTACCAAAATTTCAGGGAAAATCAAGATTTATATGAACAAAAAATTTAATGTGGAAATAAATATATATACACGAGAGTTTATTCCTATATTACCACTACCACTACCACTACCACTGTCATCTTATTCTTGTTCTACTGCTGTTGTTACTGCTACTGCTACTGCCACTGCTAATGCTACTACCGCTTTTAATTTGCCATTATTATATTTGATGCCATTACATTAGAGAGAGAAAGTTAAATCAAAAAAATTTGCATAAATGTTCTATTTATGAATTGATTATAAGTAATAATATTTATTAAATATTTGTCAGTATATCCATGTCCATTCATCATTAATAAAAACAAGTATTGATAGATAGATATGAATAAGAACGTTATATATACCTGGAGTCTTTCTTAAATTTGTAATATAAACAATAGCCTTTATTCATAATAGAGTAAGAAATTACTTACCTGTAATTAAATTGTATATAAAAATAGTTTAATAATTCCATAAAGAATACCTCTTTAAGTATTGATGTATTAGAGATGCCACATGTTTAAGCAACAATCTATGCTTGATTTTACATCTAATGTTAGAGTCTCATCTACGATTGTATTGGAAGAAAGTTTTTTTTTTAATAAAGCGAAGTTACTATTTAAATTCCTTTGCTTCTAATAGAAATTCGTGAAAATTATTTCATTGAATATTATTATGTATATAATTTTTTAAAACTCATGCTAGAAATTTCCCAAAAATCGTTATGGAGTTATTAAAAAGTTAAAATATTCATTACACGATCCAATGTCAGTTTTTTTATAGTTCTAATGTGAACAATAATAATTTTATTAACATGATTATCCAACTAATCTATTAGCTAATCTAACAATTAATATAATAACGATAACAGTAAAATAGCCATATCTATGGTAGTTTCTTAAGAAGCGGACTAAAGGCATTAATTAATTAGTATTAAAGAAATTTAACTTAAGACTAATTCTACTAATACTATTACATATATTATTATTACACGAAATTAAATTAATATTAATTCTAATTCTAATTCTAATTCCAATTCTAATTCTAATTCCAATTCCAATTCCAATTCTAATCCCAATTCTAATTCTAATTCCAATTCTAATTCTAATACTAACTTTAATTCTAATACTAATACTAATACTAACTTTAATTCTAATCCTAATACTAAATATACTATATTTTTATTTTTAAAATAACTACTGTCACTAAATTTAAATTTAGTCCACTTCACTACCAAACCTTCATCCAGTCTGTACCGTAAGTCTTCTGCCTTCCACACCAAGTAAGTAAAAGAGCTATTGAAAGAAGAAGAAAATGAAATGACAACAAAAATGATAAAGGAGAGGACAATAATGATAAAGGAGAGAATAATAATGAATAAGATAGGATTGATAGTGTTATAACAACGGGTATAACAATATACAATACAAATCAGCAAAGTATCAATAAATTGATAAGTTTTTAATGATCAAAGATAATTAATTACCACAAACTATCTGGATAAAATCACAAACACCAAAACTGCCTTTCCTCATCACTTAGCACTTTGTCTTTGTACTTCCTCTCTAATTAAGAATTTTTCTTATGGCTGTTTTTGAGATTAATGTGCGCCCACACAAATTAAAAGTCGTCCTAACTTCAAAATAAAGGAATATAATGATTAACAC